TATATATATATAAATATATATATATTTACATATAGTCCTTTCTCCTCACTAACATTTTTTCATTTTGTTTCACACCTTGCAGTTTAGTGGTATTATTGCCTTACTTGGGGAGAAATAATTATATATATATATATATATATATATATGGTTAAGAAAAAAGTGAGACATGATGTTTTTATTAACAATGTTATGACAAAAAGAAAAAGCATTTTATAATTAAATATTGCACTTATCAAAATATTTTCCTTCAGCTTTGATTACTGCAGCACAAATTTTTGGCATTTGTTGCAGAAGTTTGTCAAATTGTAAGTCTGATAATTGATTCCATTCTTTTTTCAATGAATTTAAGAGCTCTTTTACATTTTTTTCACTTTTCATCCCATGCAGTTTCTGCGGGGTGACTTCAAACTTTTGAAAAGTAGTGTATGTATCTATCTATCTATCTATCTCACTCTCTCTCTCCTCTCTCTCTCTCCCCCCTCTCTCTCTCTCTCTCTATATATATATATATATAATAAGTGTGTTTCTCTGTTGATATATCTTCCAAAAGTTTGTAAAATTGTTTTTATGCTGACCTCAAAGTATTCTTTCTCTTTATAAATACCATAATATACATTTCCACTTCAGACTGGTGTAAGAAACATCTCTGAGATTTTGAGACTCTTTGACCCCTACCACAAGTCTGGTGCAGAAAAGACAAGTTTTTGTTTTGTTTTGTTTTTTTTTTAACTAACCAAATAAAAACTAAGAAAATAAACAGAACTGAAAAACAGAAAGAAAAAAAATAGAATTTTGTTTCCCTTTGGTTCCATTATCTTTACAAGTCAACATTTTTGCTGGAACTCCAAGACTGTTATCTCTTTCTTTTCTAATTTCCCTGGCTACCTTTACCAATTCTCTAAAGTGTCTACTTCTTATTTTTATAGATTTGTTTTTCGGTTTCTTATTCTGATTTGTAAAATATAGATTGAAAATGAACTGCAAAATCCTCTTCACATTGTGTGTTATACAAAATCAATTATAAATTTCCCTTAAAATATTTCCGATAATTAGTTGTTCGGATAGTGTTTTGTTCCTAAGTATTATCTGATGAGAGTTTTATCAAATTGGTAAGCAAACAACATTGACCTGCAAGAAAGGAAGGCAAGATTTTATCTTTGTTGTTTGTATATTATGTTGCTAAGCATGTACAAATGTTTTTGATGATGGAGATTTCTTTCCTTAGTTCACAGCAACAACAATCAGAAAAAATAACTTATCTTATTATTAATAAATAAGCAGACAGCATAAATTCTCCAATGTAAGTGAGCACATTAATGCCTGCCATGTGAACACTTCTAACAGCAGCTACAACTGAAATGGACAGCACATGTTGATTTAGTTGGTTAGTTGATTTTGTTTAGTGGCATATCAACCTCTATTGTTTATTTAATCCGGAAATCGAAATATTATAAAGATAATTTTATGGTTAAATATATTTTTAATGCATTTGTATGTATTCAAATACAGATAAAATATATTGTTGGTCATTTTACTATAAAATGTATTGATTATTTTTTTATATATATATAAATGTGTACTACTGGGATTTTTACCATAAAAATGTACTTTTTTACTTTAATAGGGTTTTTGTCTATGTTTCGGAGTTTACTATTTGCCCATAGCTGGAAACATAACAGGTACTACCATCCCAGGTGAGGGTTGACCTGGGAACAACAGCAATTAAGAGGTAGTTCCATGCTCATCAAAACCTTCAATCTCACAATCAGAAGCCTTGCTGTCGGATGTACTTTATTGTCATATCTCCAACAAAAAGAGCATATATATATATAATAGTATAATCACTACTTCATATAAAACATTAGGAAGGAAACATCCATCCAGATCAGAAAGACTGTTACCAGTGAAAGGACACGAGAAATGTATTTTCTTGAAAAATTGTCTTAACAGAAAAATTTTATAAATTTCAACCGAGAGTAGTCGTGGCTACTTGGACAATGAATGCGAAATGTTTCCTTATAAGGAAACAGATAATATAAGCATTTCCATTACCAAGCATACTCTCAGAATAACAATTATCCTGTAAAGTTAACATTAGCTCCTTCAAGCAGAGATCGGAAAATTTAGGTGGGTGGAGAGTAAAGCTGTCACGATTTACATCAAGTGTGTGTTGAAAAGGATTTAGAAGATTTGTTGCCATACAACATCAGATCTGTACCAGATGATATAATCCATATCACTTGAAGACTTCCAACAACTGCAACAGCTAAAATGAATAGCACATGTAGCTTGAAGAGAAAATAATGACATAATCAAGATGATGACATTCCCCACTACTTTAAACAATAGGTTAGGAAGGAAACCCCCATCAATACTGGAAAGAGAGATATCATTTATTCACCACATTATGTTGAAAATACTGGTTCCTGTACAATCACTGAAGTTAAGCAATCGTAAGCCTGGTCAGTACCTAGATGGGTGACTGCTTGGGAACACTAAGTTTGGATGTGCAGGTGATATAATGGAAGGGTCGGCAACTTACAGCACGTGTACCACAAAAGCACACCAAGCAATTTCTAATGGCACATAGCCACAAATGACATCACAAAATCTGATCCAATAACTACTACAATGCAAAGAAGATATTTAGTTGTTTCAATTTTAATATATACTAAATTATATATACTATATATTACTATATAAAATATATTGTAGAACAGGTATATTGACTTTGACTTGTATAAAAATATGTATACTGTTGGTACACTGAATGAGTTTAAAACCCTAAGTTGGCACTTAGCAAAAAGTTGCCAACCCCTAGTATAATGGATAATGGCTTGGCATTGTTAACCAGAGAGCCAAATTCCAACTGGGTTCATTATATTTACATACATGCAAATAACATTGGGAAAAGTATGAATCCACTTCTTCTCCTACCAGCTATAGGTTAATTAATAAGACTATCATCACTAAACCATTGTTATCTCAAAAAAATATTCTTACAAACAAACTTCAGTAATTGTACAGGAACCAGTGTTTTCAAAATGATGTGGTGAGTAAATGATATCTCTCTTTCCAGTATTGATGGGGGTTTCCTTCCTTTGTAGCCAGTTTTACCCTAAAGATCCGTTTAGGTGAAACCTAGGTAGGTTTTCCTGGCTCCTTAGGATTATCTTAGTTTTTGCTCTAATTAGTGTATTGAGCACCCTTATGTTTAGTCTTTTACTCATTTTGTTTTTTTTTTCTTTGGACTTGGAGCTCAAGCACTTGACAAGAGGATTTGTACAGTTTTATGGTCTTGGTTCTTTCTTTTTTTCATTTCCAATTTTTCCTTGGACATCAATTTGTTATATTACAAGTTGAGCCAACCGAGGTTTTTCAAAACAAGTATTACCATGTCCCCTCAAGCTTTTATGAAAGCATTAATTTTAATATTCTAAATTGTTTCATAAACAAAAATGATATAAATATTAAAACTCACATTTATTTGACTTTTCAGGAAGCAAAGAAAAGAATGTTTTAGTTTGTGTCATTGTGTTTCAAGTCACCAACATGTTTGGTTTTAGTTCAGAATGTTTAACTCTTAGAAATTTTTATAAAGCAGTAATTTTTTTCTAGATGTTATAACTTCAAAATAGTTTCATAAACTGGAATGATATCAATATAATAAACACATATTTATTTTGATTGTTTTATTGTTAGAATGTTTGTTATAAAACATCTGTTCTTTTTACTATGAAATATATGCCAATTTGGTTTTATGATCAATCATAAAATAGTGATATTTCCCGAAGAATAATTTTATTGACAAACAAAAAATAGCTATTGTAGTTTATTTAAAGAATTTGCAATAAGTTTACTTCAAGCTATGTAAATGTTGCTAAAATATATAATGAGTTCAAAATATTCCAGACAGGGGCTGGAAAGTTAGCTGATGGCGCTATCTGGTGGAGCCCCACAATTTCATTAGCCTAGGGAACCCAGAAAGTATTAACATGGCCATGGTCATAGGCCTGTATGTATGTAAATCTTGTAAATTTCCCTGCAGTGTATATGGCCACAATCTCCCCATGTTGTGTTGTGCTTTTGTGGTTTTTATAACAAGTTGGTTTTTAAATGGTGGAGCTTCTAGCCCTATACCCAAACAGTTTTCTCCTAAATTGGTTGCCAACCAAGGCTAGAGAATACGGGATTAATTAATAATTAATGACAAATTGTTATTTCACTTTTTATAATTTCTTTTTATTTTCTAATCATTTCATCACAAGCAAGGTAATAAAGCCACTAAAATGCAAGCGAGAATATGAGAAAATATAATATTAAAGAGACAGGACAATAAAAGAAGAGGAATTAAGAATACAGGAGGTAACAGTTGACATTGCATTTCAAATTTTGAAGATAAAAGTTGACTAGGAAGCAAAAAGCTGGAAGAGAGTTCCACAAGCAAGAAATGTGATAAAAGAAACTGTTAGCATAGAACTTATGGTTACATCTAGCGGCCATTTCAACCATAAAATGATGAAACCTTGCCGCTAGTCTAGTACTGCTCTCAAATTCATAATGTCTAGGTACTATAGAGGAAATTTCATCGGAACAATTACTTTGAAATTATTTATAGAAAAGTCACAGGGATGAAACTGTTTAGGCAAAGTGACTGAAGTTGAGATGTCAGGTCAGGACATAATAACATTGCAGATTCTTCTTTTGATTTTTTTCAAGGTTCTCTAAACCTATAGCAGAAGCACCAGACCAAATGTGGCAGCAATATTCAAAGCAAGGACAGATAGAAGATTTATAAATACATAAGATAGATTCTGGCAAGAAAAACTGTTAAACACAACATGGTGAACCATCTTTTTTAGCTGCAAAATTAGCAATTACTTCAATATACTCTTTCCACTTCATGTCAGTTGAGAATTTTAATCCAAGAAGGTGCACTCTGTTGGAGGTTAGCATAATGGAAAGGAAAAAAATGTTCTCTCAGACAAATAAGCAGTTTCATTTCGGAGGCAATAAAATTAACAAGCCACTCTTTGATCATTTAACAACAGATTATAGGTTAATTTTTTAGATCAGCTGCTAATTTGACCTTATCGAAGCTCACTGAATTTTACAGTGGGCTTTAATGTGTTGATCTGTATTTTAATATTTTAAATGAATTTCTACATTTTTTTGTTTACTGTTTAGTTTTAAGTCTTAAGAAAACCTCTCAAGGCCCCTTGAGTCTTAGTGGTTTTATTGCCTTGCTTGAGATAAAATAATTGAAAAGAAGATATAGCAATCACAGACAGACACACACAAATATAAAAGTAGATGATGAGATCAACATCAAATAGTGACAGTCTGTTTTATGCCATTTGTGTTCAAGCATGAAACAAACTTTCAGGTTATGGTGTTGACCTCAGTGTCCACCTTTATATATATATATATATATATATATATATATATATATATATATATATATATATATAAATGGAGAGAGAGAGAGAGAGAGAGAGAATAGATTGAGAATTTCCAATTATTGGGGGGAAACAAAGAGAAAAATATGTCTTTGTCTAGAAGAAGACTGGATTTGAAAGCAAAATCTTTTGTGCTCAATTGAAGCCGATTTAAACAGGATTGATTGACCAATTCCAGTGAACGGCATAAAAGAGTTAGTCTCTGAAAATAGGAAGATATTATTATGAACAGGATCTGATCAAGTCAATTTCTAGCCAAAGTTTAGATGAAAAACAATAAAAGAAGCTGTTAGTCGTGGGGTTTTGGGGGGAAACCAAATTAATGTATAAAGAAATGAGAAGGAAAGAGGAAGGGATGGAAGGATTTAATCTATTGGTGCCATATCGTAGCCATTTTTCTCAAAGAATCTATTCTTTTCAATCCTTTGTGTGCTTACTCAAAACTGGAATGGTCCTATTTTATTTTTATTAATTTCATTCAAGAATTTTTTTTGTGTTCTGAAGTTATTCATTTTCTTTTTTGTCCTTGTAATTTGCCTCTTAATGTTTCTTGAAAGAATGTTAGTGTTACATTATGGGAAGTTTTGTTATTTTTTTAAGGGTCTTTAGGACGAGAGAAAAATGACAGAAAAAAAAAAAGTGGGAATAAAACATAAAATAAGTGACTGTAAAAAGAAATCTAAATTTGAAAATATGTTAACATTTAAATATAAAAAAATTATCCCACACTTCCAAACTGATCACCATCACCATAATCGGTCAAATGATTAGATGTGGTCATGGGTAACAGTATGACTAACCACCTGACCAGTTCCCTGAAAAATTACCTTCCAAAGCACACCTATAAAATGTATTTAAAACTGACCAATCAGCACTTGTATTTGGTACACAAGAATAACAAGGAAGTTTTAATGCGAAAAGGCCATCCTTTTTTGAGTAAACACTAATAAGATTTCAGATGTGATAACAACAACAATGATGAGGACAATAATTTGAATAGATATAGTGTAAATAAGGATTATGCCTCATCCCAAAAATTCAGACAAAAAAGATTCATAATGTGGTGGGGGGCAGTTTTTTATTATTATCATGCAATAATCTGACGTCATAACTGAATAAATATATATTTAATAATTTATGAGAAAATCTTTTAAATAATAGTAAGAACTTAAAATTATCAATTTCGTATAGGCTGCCCTTTTTTTATAGCATGGTAAACACATGGACATAAAGTGGAGGTTCAGTTATCTTTATTAAGTAATAATCTAATCCGACCAGAATTACCATAATTTACTGTCATAATTGAATAAATATAAATTTAATAATTTATGTGAAAACCTTTTAAATAATAGTAATTTGAAAAATAATGTACCTTAACAAATAAGCCACACACTGGGAGCAAATTAAAGTATTTCCTTCAATTATGCCCCCAGCATGATACTTATTTATTACAGCACATTATTTTTCAAACAATTTTCTCTATTGCATGATTATTTTGTTTCAGAAATCTAAAATCTAAAGTTGAAAAATTCTGTCTGGTAGAGTAATGCCAGATAGCACTCTATTTGGTGCAAAAGATTATTTGTACCTTGCTTAACTGTGTAACAGGCTTAATGTCATATCACACTGAAACACTGAAGTTAAGCAATGTCAAGTCTGGTCAGTGCCTAGACAGGTGACTGCTTGGCAATATCAGATGCTGTAAGCTTGGATGGGTAGGTGGTGTAATGCATAATGCATCAGAATTGGAAAGTGAAGAACTGAGTTCCAATTCCAGTCTGACTTATTATATTCATTTAGGTTCAAATTCCCTTGGGAGAGGCATGAATCCACTATTTCTCCCTTCAGCTATGGGTTAAATAGGACTTGTATCAGTAAATCATTATTATTTTTTTTAAAAATCCTTACAATCTAAACATTCTGAATTGTAAGAATTTTTTTTGAGATAAACAGTTGATTGATTGATTTTTTTTTTTTTTACAGGTTGACAAGTTGTGAAAAAACAAATCAATCAGTAAACTGTTTAATTATATTAAATATA